CAGACACACACCCACACACAGGCTCGGAGGTTGTAAACTCAGTCGGGATTCATTTCCTGAGCAGCAGCTGCAGTTTCCTCACTCACTGAGCTGATGGGAGGCGAGCAGAGAGAAGCCGCTCCGTCTTGTGTTTTGACTCAACGGTAAATAAAGAAAGGGACGCGCTGTGTTCAGAGGCAGACACAGCTGGCCGGCAGCCGCTCTGCTGCCTCTCTGTACAGTCTTTCAGTGTGGCCGTCCCACTGCAGCTGCTGCGTGAAGGGGAAGGGAAGGAGGCCTCTCTTTTGGCTCAATATTTGTGGATTGAAGCCAAAGGGTGCAATCCCCGACTCGTCCTCCGACTGTCCAGCGTTCAGCAGTGACTGAGCGCTCACAGAAAAAGGCTTTACAATAGTTTATGGCCTTTTTCCGCCCTGTGTCGGGCCTCTCAGGCGACAGCTCTGCAGACACTACAGAGGGATGATAAACCACCGTAACGCCTTGTTGTGAAATGAATCAAAATCGTGACTCACAGTTTGACTCAGAGTTTTTAACCGGTTACAGAAGTCTCGGTTTAATCCTGAGGCCTCTATCAGAGAGAGGATCGGCTGCTTTTATAAAGTTATTCTTAATGTCTGCCACCGGGGCGATTCCCCTTGAAATCAATGAAAAGAGGAGGCAGAGAAACATTATTGCTTTTGTCCACAGGGGGCCGCAAGAATCAACACACGACAGTTCCTTATAGCTGCTTTAAGTAGAGTTAATAATTAATAATAACAAACTACCTAAACACAATGTAAAGACTGGAGTGTGCACACAGGTACGATATTAATAGTACTATGAACTATAAACAGTGTAGTGCGAGTAAAACTAAATGTTCTTTTAGGCTTTTTATTAAGATTAAAGGAACAAATGATGTCCTTTTTTAATATACATCAACAGTGATAAAAAAAGATAAAATAATACTTATTAATTGCACTTTCTATGAAAAAGCATAAAGAACACTGAATGCTCATTAGGCGACACAAAAGCAACTGTGCCGACTAAAACTAAACTAAACTACTAAAGAAAGCAGAGTAACAGGTATGAAGTACTTATACAGTAATATTACATCATTCACAGTATAATTAGTCACTCTTAACATTACAACCTGATGTCACACCTTATTTTCAGTCAGACTGATGTAAACAAACCTCTAAAAAATGTATTTTTAGTCGTTGTTGTGTATAAAAGGCTTGTCAATCCATTTGGGAGACACAGCAGATTTCAGTGTGTTGGTTTGACTCACAGGTCGAACCTTTAAAATGAACTAGCTGATAAAATAATCACCACCAGGAGGCTAACGTGTATTTTTTACCTAAAAACCGCCAGAAACCCAAATGTCCGATTTTTATGAACGCGTCCTACGTTCGAAGTAAACGAATGTTCCGCGGCTGTGATGCGTTCAGTTCCTCTGGTTCCAGCTCGTTTTTCTGTGTTCTCATATTCATTACAAGCAGAAAAGAGGGAGAGAAAAAAAAGAGAAAGAAAGCGGTTTTCTTTTTCTTTTTTTTCCGGAGAACAAAAGTCGAACTCGGCCTCAGTAAACAGCTGTGACCGCGGGACAGACCGAAACACAGAAAACGGTCTCACAACAACAACAACAACAACAGCAGGCTGATAATCTGCTGCACCTGTTCCTCCTCCACCCTGCACACACATTTCATAGCACTGTGAATATCAGACCATGATCACAATCACACAAAGGGAAGCTCCTCTGGGTCAGTGACTCACCGCAACTCACGCATCTGTTACATCATACCCGCATTATTTACTCAAACGCGGTTAAAACCCGTAAATCTGATGTAAACACGCAGCAGGATTACACATAAAACAGGTCCCATAATGAGGATGAAGCCACATTACTGCAGATACAGCTGCTTACTGACAGCTACAGGACAGTGAACTGATGAAGTGTTGTTGTTGACATGGCGGGTTGCAGCAGTAACGATTATCTCTATGATTAATCGATCGATCCATCCTATAAAATATCAGAAATAAATGAAGAAATGTCTTCAGGTGTTTTGTCAAAGAGTCGAAATCAACTTAAAAATCATAGCTGGGATAAATTAAAAATAAAATAATTACAAATTAAAACATAAAAAAAACTGAAAATAGTGAAATATGTAAATAATAAAGTTGATAAAACAAAGATGATCTCTTCAGGTTTCTTATATTGTTCAACAGTTAAAAACCGACACATTTCTATTTAAAACGGTGATAAAAAAAAAAAGCGAATCCTCACTTGGAAAAAGCTAAAAACAAGAAACAATCGACATTTTTTCTTGATAAATGACCAACTATCTTAAAGGTTATCGATTCCCTGTCAGGTCGATGTACTAATAGACTAATCGGCGCTAAAGTGATTTAACAACCAGTAAAACAACAATCCGAACTGGTCCGGTTTGAGTCCGGTACGAGTCCGGATCAGCAGCAGTGTTTGCAGGTTACAAAGGGAAGGGGAGGAGGCTGTAACCGGACACCGGCAGGGCAGAACCGTTAAACTACACAAATATACCAGAAAACATCTCCCACAATACACTGGGACTTATTCTGGTCCGGTCGCAGAAACAAACAACAAACAAACAAACAAACAACAAACAAAAACCCAACCGAGTTCCTGCAGAGCCACAGCTAACGTTAGCCTAGCCACACTGAGCTGAATACTGCAACAAAACAAACAAACAAACAAACAAACAGAACAACATTAAGGTCTGCTGAGCGGTGCAGGGAGAGTCTCTAATGTTCAACAGACCATAATAAGAGGAGGAAGGAGCAGCGGAGCCGTTAACGGACACCGAGAGCAAAACAAAGAGCTCACCTGCGGCAGAGAGAGAGAGAGAGGGAGGGTGTAAACGGGTTAAATCCTTTAAACTGAGGTAGATGGTTCCTTTTCGATAAAATAGAAAAACGTGAGGTTTCTTCTCGGAAGAAATAAAATAAAAGCCGTTAATTTAAGGATTGTTCATCGGGAGTCACAGTGTGCTTCAGCTTCTCCTCTTTTCTTCTTCTTTCTCCCCCTTTCAGTCCGTTTCCTCCTCCGTCCCCCGACTGCTGCTCCTTCTTTTGTTGTTGTTGTGGAACAGCTGATCGCGGGGTGACGTCGCCAGGCCGGCAGCCAATAGGAAGGCTTCAGGGGCCAGGAGCGGCGCGGGCCAATCACAGCGCGCGTTACAAGCTGTCACCAACCCACGTGACCTCCCTCTCTCTCTCTCTC